GCTGGGGATACCGTCCGGACCTGTGGCTTTCCTTGGGTTGACTCCCAGGAAGACCAATCTGATGTCTGAAGTGGTGACAGAGGGAACAAGTGCATCTGGGGTTGTCAGCACAGGCATTCTACTCAAACCAAACATAGAAAACATTCAGCACATCAGGGAGGGATATGTCTTTGTCCGATATCTTGCACTGCTTCACTTTGTAGCCCATAATGTGGTTTAGGCCTCGCCATAGGCAGTGGGTGTCTGTTTGGTAGGTTTGAGCTTCTAACTTGGTCTGGTACTACTTCTTGGCATCCCTGACGGCTTTGCGAAGGTCATATCTGGATTTTCTGTATTGGTCCGGGTCACCCAATTGAATGTTGGGTGTCTGGTCTTCAGTGGGGAGTGGACGTCCTGGTTCATCCAAGGAATTTCTTTAGTCATTGAGCGCATTTAAGACAGAGATAAATAGGCTGTTGACTGGTAAGGGGAACAAGGGTATGGGGAGCAGACAGAAGGAATGTGGTTGAGAAACATATCAGCCTTGATCGAATGGCCGAATTACCTAATTCTGCTCCTGCCTCTTACAGTCTGATGGAATTATGGACAAGTCTTTAAATATTGCAACTACAGCAGAAATCACAACCTTGGAAAGGTAAAAGGCATTAGAAGAGGAGAAATGTGAATTAAAACATAGGCCTTTTTAATGTGTAGTCTAGCACTAGAACCCCTTTCGGATTGTTGCAACCAGAAATATTGCACTTCAGCTAAACCTGTGTAGGTCACCAAAAACTCTCCCACTCTTACAGTAATTTCTCTGAAGCTTAGAGCTGTGCAGTGTTAGAACATAATGAATAAAATGCAAATATTTAAAGCTGAAGTCAATTTGTCTTCATTCCAAAGATCTATCAATCATTTAGAAAGTTTACTTGGATAAAATGTCACAATTTATTAGTTTTACATTCTAAATTTACAACTGACCCACAGAATCTAGAAACGATCTGCTCCAAAGGCTAACAAAGGCTTTTTTAAAAAAAAAATTTTCCAAACATCTGGATACCATTTTCAATTAGAAAAGCATATATTTCCTTCAGAGGCTCTCAGTTTGGTTTCTGTCACGTACTTGACAGAAGAATATTAAACATTGAGAACAGTGTGTTCTTAAACACTTGACTAAGTGCTGTATTTGTAGGATTTAATTTTGCCATTTCCTTGGAGAATCAGTCAAGTAGAATTAGTCATAAAATATGCACTGCAATATCTCAGCTTTAGAAGTCCCAAAAATAAAACTAAAAAAAATTAAAAATTACATTTGGAGCAAACTGAATTACTGTTTTCATTTTATAATTGTCATTGATCCTTCTGAAATATAGACTGGATCTCAAATCAATCATTTAACTACTGACAAGCAACTTTCTATTAAGAAGTGCAGCCCCAGTAGTAAATCAGGTTTAGCATACAGGTCTAAAAACAGCTTTTTTTGGAGTTATACTGGCAAGAAATGCCACTGAAATCTGATGAGATCAATTTATTTTGTTGTACCTTAATTCATCCTTGGTCACAAGGTAAGGTATTATAAAAATAAGTTTAATTTTGCATTTATACAGCACTGTTCATGATCACCGATCTCTCAAAACACTTCATAGAATTGGGGCAGCCACAACAAGCTTCTACAAATGCCAATGTGATAATGACCAGTTTTGATTTGACATTGGCCAGGTCATGGGGGACAATTCCCCCTGCTATTCTTTCTAGCAGAATGATGAGCCTCAGTCTTCTGCAAGACGATACCTCTGACATTGCAGCACATTGGCAGTAGCACAGCTGACGCTCAAGCCTTGACTTTTGTGCTCAAGTCCAGGAGTGGGAATTGAACTTGGAACCTTGTGACACAGAGGCGATTGCTACCACTTGAACCATAGCTGACAAACTATTTTGAAATTCAGACTTAGTGCTAGACAGTGGATGCTCAGATAGGGCGACAATAGAATCGGCCACTGCAGCAAATGCCATTACAGTACTTCTGTTGGGCTTAAATGAGAAATTTTTAAAAAGATTAAATTTTCTCAACTGAGATTTGCTGCCTGTGCATGTTACTTCTCGATACCGCAAAGTTATTGGGCACAAATGCCCAAAGCAGCAAAGTGTGTAAAAATATATTTGGAAGCAATCTTAAATGCTTATTGGAGTGCAGAATTCTTTAACTTTTTAATGGACACTGGGGTGCAAGAGTGGAAAAGAGAAAGATGCTCAAGAATACATCTACACTTTTTGGACATAGGTATTCCATCTAGAATTCACTGCTTTCAAGTTTTATCATTATCAGAATTATCAACCAAGCAGTTTACAGCCATTGGCCTTAATAATGACTTTCTCACAAGGAAAAGGGGACCTATTTCGAGCCAAATTCACAGTTGATCCAGATCAACTGTTTTATGGCTTTAAGAAATGCGAATAGTAGATACAATTTATCTTCAAAGAATTTATACACATCTGTACTGAGGGGACAGTGCTAATTGACCAATCAATACTCTTAAGTACAAATGCTGATTTTTCCCACCCAATTTGTATTCTTGCAGAATGTCCTGACAAGTGCAAGATGAAAGGCTTCGACAAAATTCTTTTTTTCAGAATTCAGGTTCTGTACTACCAAAGGGTTAATCGAAATAGTTAAGAATACATTAGAGAAATATTAATTCAATCAACTGAGTTTGACATCATAAATGGCAAGTGATGCAACAATAAAAACAAAGTGCCTGAAAAACTCAGAAGAGTCATATTGGACTTGAAACGTTAACTCGATTTCTCTGCACTGGTACTGAGAACTGCTGGATTTTTAAAAAGCTTTCTATTTTTATTTATGATCTCTAACCCTTGCAGTATCTTGCTTTTATTAAGCAAACGCTGACAGATTACCTTTTTGTCCATTTACAGTTTGGCATAAGCAGTTTCTAAAACTGCAAAATGGACTGGCTGAGTCCATGTACATGAAAATGCGTTTGCGGCAGGGATAATGTATCATGGCACATTTAGCAAAATGCAACGAGATGATTTAACATATTGAATATGACTTGATTACCTTCAGAATTCAGATGCAACAGTATAACTAATTACGTAACATTTTATTGCAGGATAAATCAGAACAGAGGGCAAAACATGGATAGAAACTTTCACATGTTCGGAATGTCCCAAAACATTTAGAAACAATTAAGAAACAATTTTGATATTAGTAACTTTTGTAGAAAAAATACTCAATTTACAAAGGTTCCACAAATAGTAACCTGTTAATGACTAGATATTCTATTTTAGTTTAGTGATAATTGCTGGATAAATATGGCTGTAATGCAAGAAAATTCCTTTTCTTTTTTAAACAGCACCACCTGAACTTTTACATCAAGTCAAGAGGTTCCTGTGGCACAATGACAGTTTCCCTACCTCTTGGCCAGAATCTGTCCCAGAAGTGTGTTGTAACATGTATACACAGGCTGATTAAAATATACACACTCACATAAGATATAGCCCCTGGGTCAGTGAATCAACATGTAAATGCCTCAGTACAGCACTGAATTGGCAGCCTACATTTTGTGCACAAATTCTAGGCAGTCGAACATGAACTTAACCTCGAACACTATCACTGAGCCAACACTGACAACAGAAGAGCTATTTTTAATGCATGCTGGTAGCAAGCTCTGGTACACACAAGCAGTTTTAGTGCCTGGAACATACAAATAACTGGTGATCTATAAAGTATTTGACTTTATTTGTACTGAGCTACAGCACTCCTGCCCTCTGGAGGAGAGATAATGTTTTCACAATGACTGGATTAGAAAAGCATGGAATTCAGTAACAGTTCAAGATGAGCACAAGCGAGCCGTATTACTTCCAATGCAACTACAATGCTGCTTCCCAGAATTTAAAATAAATATTCTACAAAGCAATATTACATTTGACATGTTATGAATAGTTTAAATGGTTCTATTAGGATTCTTAGTAAGTTAGAAAATTACTGCATTCATCTCAAACCTCAATACATTTGACATCTGAAAGTGGTTCCCAATTCATTACCGAGTTCTGCAGTCATTACCTCTACATAAATGCGTGCAGTGGCCTTTGCAAACTGTCTGGGACAAAACATCAGCCCAAACAGTACCGACTGCAGGAGGAATGGTAGCCAGAAAATCTGAAATATCATCTTGCTGTCATACTAATATATCTGTCCTAGGCCTGAAGTGTTCCAGCAAAACTTAATACAAGATACAGGAACAGCATCTAATTTTCCACTTAGGCACTTTACAGCCTTCAGGACTCACAGCCAAGTCTGATAACTTCAAACCATGAACTCTGCTCTTCATTTTGATTCCATCACACACAAAACCACATTCCCCCCCCACCTTGGGTGAAACACTTTTTAGCCTAAGGTTCCTATTGTTCTTTATGGTTCATAGTGGGACTTAACAGAAGTTACTATCTTCAGCTGTGAGAATTGCATGAAGCCAGTACACAGCATTGAAACACATCACCAAATCACATTAAATTTCACAACAATGCCCAAGTTACAGAGGGATACACTATTTAGTATACAAGGACATTGCCTCTATACTCAACTACGTCATTCACATTTATCTCAAATTTTCAGAATTCTAATATATTAGCCACAAGATTAAAACTAAGAATTGAGAGATGCATGCTTTGTTGTTCCAACCCATTTCAAACAATCTCCACATCTTAGAAATTACAGGCCAAATAATTGCTTAGCAATATATGACTTAGACATTTGATTAAAAAAAGACAGTCAAAACTTTTCAGCCTTGCAGTTATCAGGAATGAACCACAAGAAAGTCAGCTTTAGAAAAGCAATAATTTAGAAGATAACTGGACTATGGCTGGCAAATTCAAACCAGGTAGGTTGGCACTGGTTGGTCATGGTATTCCCATGGGCAATAGTAATTGGTTGACTTAATGAGTGGTTAACTCATTGTAAAAGGGTGCAATGTGCATATATACAGCAAATATTTTATTACCTGGCACCAAGGGACCAGGAGTATGCCAGGTGATCAAATACTCCAGATAATAAAGAGGTACACTGTAAGTAAAAGAAACGTAATGCAGAGGGTATGCAAATCGCATGTTATACTTTATTTATGGTGGTGGCAAGATGGAGATGTCAACTCACCTTCAATAGATGATCACCCAGAACTGTTCCAGTTTCCTGATTAAAAGGAATCAGCAGGTCTACAGCACCGAGTCCAACAATCTGAAATCCAAAAACTCTTTCCATTACAATGGACTTATTCACTGCAGAACTGTAATTGTGGAGTCAGCAGCTGATGGAAAGGAGTGGTGGTTGTCCTCAAAAAGTGAGCAAGTCAACCCAAGCCAGCAACATACCATGAAAAGACTACCATTGACAAAAATGGCCATGCTACTGTAAACATATTGCAACGCATGCTCTGCAAGAACAAGAACTGAAAGGAACGTCATACAGCTGCACTTCAACACGCCAGCACCATTTTGAAAAGCCAGAAGCCAGTTGTGGTCAAGAAGCAGCACACTCCAGCTACAAAGAGCGCATAAACTTGTAAAAGATGGGCATGGCTTATGATCAAAATAAATTAAGATTTTGAGTAAAAAAAACTCTCGACGTTGTGACAGATTGCAGTATTTGAAGCATATAATTTTTGCTGATTTATCAAGAGTACTGGTTAAAACAAAGTTTGCTGTATTCCTTTTGTTGACAAAGAACAGGGCTGAGAGATAAAATAAATGCAACTTCGAGTACGTTCAAATAAATCACTCTGCAAGCTTGTCCGATGATCTTAAATTGGTCCTCCGTACGATTAATAAATGCTGTCAATAGCAGAGCCGAACATTGGATGTTCGAGTTTTGCAAGCCCATGTTGCCCACTGAGCAGAATGAATGGGATGTTTTGTTTGATAAGATCCACCAGTCACTTGAATGTTTGCTATACGTACCAAATAACACACCAGCACTAAAGTTCATACCACATTACTCATGTGGTAGTTGTTGGACTTGGGTAGGGATGGTGAATCTGATGATTTACCCACATGGCTCACCAATTCCACGCAGTTACAGGTTGCACAGGTCACAAATGAAATCTTCCTTTATGCCCTATTTTATCTAAAATAGGTCCTACCCAACATGCATTGGTTAAGATGTTGCTGGAACCAGTTTTGAGCCTAACACTTACACCGGAGGATTCCTTCACTTTCAAAGACCATATAAAACATACAGAACAACAGCAATATCATGTCCATGTGCCCTTTGGACATTGCAAGCCTATTCACTAACATATTACTCAAGGAAGCCACTGACATTAACTATCAAGATGGAAAACTCCAACCTCAGTCTCCTCTATGCCAAAACTAAACTGACCACTACTGATATACATGGTTTACAGTGTGAAGATAAGTGCAATGTCATTTTTCAAACTGCACCAGGTTTGTGAGCCAAAATAAAACTTATTAACCCAAATCCAGCCAGTATAACATTCCACTTCCTATTTGTGCTGAAGGAAGCATAATTATTTCCCATACCATACCTGCAGCCTGTCTCAAAACATTCCAGTTGATGAGATGAACACGATCAGCTTTGGTAGCTCAACCTTCTACAAACTGCTGCAGCAAGACCTAGTGTACAAAGCAGTGAATGAATGAATTTGTCATCACATGTATTTTACAGTGATTAAAACCAGTAAAATACAGTGAAAACCTTTTCCACTGTCACCACAATCCAGCACCATTTTGAATAGTTTTAAGAACAAGTTTAAAAAAAGATACAGCTTAAAGAGAGCCCAACAGCCTTAACCAGATCATCAACGGCGCCTGTGCCATCATCCCTCTTGCACTGCCTCGCCACCATCCACACCAGATCCAACCAAGTCGCCATTCTTCAGGCACCATCTTTCGCCAGTGGGCCGATTGTCCTCCGACACTTCCTTGCCGTCACTTGCGCCAGACTTGCTGATAGAGTTGCATTTTTCACTGTTTGGCCCACCTCAATGTCGCGGTGATGCCCTTCTGCCACTGCTTCACCGCCACCAGGACCAGACCCAACAAACAAAGTCGTCAATCCTCAGGTGCCATCTTTCACCATTGGTTGTCACTACATTCCTGGACTGCAGTGAGACCTAGACTGTATCAGTGGCACTTAAGAGCAGTGGAGAAATTTGATACCAATACTGTCACATCCTCTGGATTCGATGGGAGGGCCATATAAATGCTAGTATCCTTTTTGAAACCAACTCAAGGAGGATTCAGGCAAAATTCCTGCAAAATTGACTTTGATGGCCTGGACAGACTTCCCAGGTGTTCTCAAATGGCTAACACACTACAGAAAAACAAAGAAAATGCTTCAAAGGCACACTGAAGTTCTTGAGGCATCGCAACACAAGTTACTGGCGGAGCTTGTTTACCAATTGTTCAGAATGCTGCCAACTTGCCCATCAGCCTGCATAACACTAAGTCACAAAGTCTTAATGAGGCAGAACAGTGATGGAGAAGGAAAGGAAGAGAAAAGAAAAACAAACATGCCAATCCTGCACTCTGGATCCCATTACCTGGTGGGACACCCATCGATTAAGAACTGGCTTGCTTAGTCACAAATACAAATGGCAGAAACCCACAAGCGAGTTGAAGTCATACATGTGCTATGCGTATGCTGCATGCATGACATGAAAATACATCTTCAAATCAAGGCAAAGCAGAAGGTGGATGGTGCCTAACTTCAACTGGGCAATCATTTCTGCAACTGCACTATTTTACCACAGGATACAGTGTGAGACACTGAACATTACAGGTTTAGACCCCGAATCCTTACTGTATTTCTAACACAATTGAGGGAAATTTACTCCATCTTAACTTTGTTTTCAATGCCACAGGAGAACAGCTAAATGTAATAAAACATCAGTGTTTCAATGCAATCTTGAGATACAAGACAGACTTAACTGCAAAATATAATGATTTATCAATTTTAAAAGAAAATAGAGATAAGTAGCTTGATTATTAAATAGAACAAAGATCCAGAGCAAAGGTTTTTTTCTCTTTTCCCACCTCATTCCAACAAACTATGCTGATACAAAATAACAATTATTCCTGTTGAGCAATTCTTACTGTTCTAAAAAAATGACTGACCCCCATGAAATTGGCTACTGCGCAGAGTTCACTGTGCAATCAACCCAATGTACAAAGGACTGGGTAATCAAACATGAATTTTTAAACAGTCAAGACAATGCTGTATTCAGCAGAACCAAACTGCATCCTGTTTGTATTATGATAAATGCTCATGACAGCAATCAGTGGAATGGCCATCACACTCTCCAATATGGAGATTAAACCTTGTCTTCACAATGCAGATCCCCTCAGTTAAGTTGTGAAGCACTCCCAGGATAAATGGGGCTGACTTCAAAGGAATCTGGACACTCAAAATTGGGCGTCCATTGGATGCTATGACAATCAGCAGAATTGTATTTAGCCACAACCTGCAATGTCATGGTCCAACATATCCCCCACTTTACTATTACTATTACTATAAAGCTGAGAGATCAAGGAAGGGTGCAGGAGGTAGTGCCAGCAGCAGCATCAGGCGTACGTACGAGTTGGATATCTCATTTTTAAAGATACAGCACTGAACTCCTTGCATGCCAAACAGGGGAAGCAGCATACAATTGACAGGGCTAAATGATCCCATAACCAATTGATCAGAGCCAAGCTCTGTAGTCCTACTACATTCAGTTGTTTTATTGTCATCCACCATTCACAACTAACACGAGGCAAGGTTCCACAAATATTCTGAATCTCAACAATGGGACAGCCCAATACATCAGCATAAAAGACAAGACTGAAGTATTTGCATCTTCAGTCGAAAGTCCCAAGTGAATTATCTGTCTTGACCTCATCCTGAGGTCCCTAGCATCACAGACGACAGTCTTCAGCCAATTCATGTGATAGCAAGACAGCTGAAGGCACGGATACTGCTAAGGTGATTGGCCCAACAACTTCTGGCAATAACTCACCAAGGCTCCTTCAACAGCACCACCCAAACCCTCAGCCACTACTACCTAGAAGAACAAGGGTAGCAGATGCATGAAAACAAAACCAACTGCAAGTTCCCTCCAAGGGGCACACATCCTAACTTGGAACTCATTGTCAAACTAGGTCAAAATCCTGGGAATTCCCTAACAGCATTGTGGATGTTCCTATACACCAAGCACTGCAGCAGTTCAAGATGAAAGCTCAGTACCATCTTGTTCAGAGGCAAATTAAGGATGGGTCATAAATGCTGGCCTAGCTAGCAACATTTACACCCCATGAATGAATTTAAAATTAGTACAGATGCATGGTAAAACTCAATACGTAAAATCAGAAATCTTGTAAAATGTCCAAATATATAGTAATAGTAAAGTGGGGGATATGCTGGATCATGACATTGCAGGTTGTGGCTAAAACAAAAAATAGTTACACTAAATTACTCCTGCCTGAAAGTTTAATCATCTACTACGTCATAAAAACAACAAGAAAAAGTTACAACTTTCAGAATGTAGATAATTAGAAGAATGATAAGGGACATTTACACTGAGCCAAAGAATGATCTGCGTACAATAGAATTCTTCCACTTCCAAACACAGTAAACTGGCCCATAAACTGTAAAAGTCCATTAAGATTAGGGATGGGCTGTTTGGGAATGAGAAAGGGTACTAACACAGATAGAGGGCTTAGTTGAGATACCAAATAAGTACTAGCATCTGTCTTCATCAAGAAAGATCCTGTGATCCCGCATGGGGAGGCAATGGCCAAGTGGTATTATCATTGGACTGATAAACCAATGACCCAAGTAATGTTCTGGGGACCTGGGATTGAATCACACCATGGTAGAATTTGAATTCAATAAATATCTGGAATTAAGAGAATAATGATGACCATTAGACAATGTTTGCAGCCAAATTTTAGAAACTTTCCTACCCTTTGTTTCTCCTTTCTCCACTGAAAGATCTGCTTTTTTTTTTCACCTTTCAGGTGTCCAAAAATTTTAGACTCATCAGTTAAGGGGAATAGTTTCTCTCAACATACAAGATTTTAAACAAAACAGGGTAAAACTCTAACCAAAATCC